CAAAGTAACCCTATAGGACATGATAGAACTTCCCCTGTGGATTTCTGAGACAGAAACTCATTAGGGGAGTAGAAAGCCTTATTATTCTCCCTTGTTGCAAGGGCTAGTTTCAAACTGCTGATATATAGTTCATAAAAATAAATATATACATCAAAATTAAAACATAAATTTATGCCTTTAGAAAAAGTTGACAAAAACATGGATGTTTTCTGAAAATCTTGATTTTCTCAGGCAAACTCTGTGAACTAAAATTAATGTTTTGAATGATTCTCTTGATATGGAGATATGAATACCGAATGACCCTCCTAGCTCCAAGTACACACACACACACACAACTTACCTAATGACAAGGGAGACCACAACTCAAAAAAAATGCAAGCCAATGAAAAAGATACAAGTCAAAGAACTCGCATCTATTCTTCTATTTCTAGATGCTTCTCCTGGGCAGGCAAGACCAGCTCAATTGAAGAAGCCTTTGGCGGTCAGGGTGGCCATTTATCAAGTGACTACAAGGGAGAGTGGCTACTTATCAAGCATTTCAATATTTTATCACCAGTAGACAGGCCCGAGTTTATAGGATGAATATCAGAACTCGGCTGCATTGAATGGCAACTTGCTAATGTGCTTGTCAAGCAGGGCACCATCAAATGAGGTCCCCTCGTGGGTGCAGCCTATGTATATACAGGCTCTATAGAGACCTTGCTTCTCTCCTCTTTGCTGCGTGTGGGACCCTGTGTTTGTCTTCTGGGGCTGGTGGCCCATGTGGCCTGCCAACCCTGGAAACTGTCAGTGTCCTTGCATGTCCTTGCCTCAATGCTATCCTTCTCTGAGTAGGTCTGTCCACCTTGTTTAAGAGATGGTGACCTTGGACAGACACAACTCCCCACCAGCTGGTAGAAAGTGCAGCTGTACCATCTGGAGAAAGCCCTACCCTGTATGGAAGGTTACACGTAAACCTGGTCTTTTCAGGACTGAAAGCATCTTCAATGGCCGAAGCACCCAAGAAACCAGTGCCTGAGTCCCTTCTGTAGCATATCTGAGACGGACATTTCCATACTATGATTACATGCCTGGAGTGACAGATAATTCTTGTCTCCTGAAATATACCTAGATGTATTTGAACAGTAGGATGTCTGGTTTTGTACTAATAAATTGCTTTCTGGAATTTTGAATAACTGTTAAGCCTTTAGTGGCAAAGTGGTCTATGCTTGTTCAACAGGAAATATCTGAAGGTAACAATCAGATATGTGGGTGGGTGGGTGGGTGGGGGAGGGCATCTTTAGGGACAAATCATCCTCCAATTGTCTTTATATCCCAACCATTCCTGACTTGTGGACTTAGACTTTTGGTTTATTTTGAACCATTGTAAACACCAACCTTGGCTTCTTACCACTTCCTGGATTCAAAATCTGACACCCGGGCTTTTCAATTCCGGCCTTAATGATATCCTTTCTCTAAGTAGTTCTGGCCACCTTGTTTAAGAGATTAATTATCTGTGTTTCCTGAATGCATTTCTCATGAAAGGAGATAAGATTCATAATCTGATAAAAACTAGTTTTTCTAATGCTAGATATTACTAAGTACTTAATTTTTTAATGGCGGAGCTAATGTTTACCTTTTATATCTGTGTAACACAATTTGCTAGACTGTACTGAATTCAAGAGATCTGGGTTTTGTCCAGCCCTGAAGGGTTTCTTATTTACAAAATGAGGGTGTTGTTGACTTCTAAAATCTTTTTTTTTAAACCTCTGAATGATGACTAGATTAAGTGTGTTTCAGAACAATAAAACCACCTGACTGCCACAACATAGATCAGCAAAAGAATTACACACAAAAAGAAAAATGTAAAGGCAGGTTTATACTAACATTATTTTAGATGAGTTGTTTTGGTTAATGAAAATATTATGCACAAGTATGTATACAGTTATGCTATATATGGTAAGGTTATAAAGTAGACAGAGAACATGTTAATTAAAAAAGAGAAGTAGAAAGTAAAATAAAATGAGATTACCTAAATTATTATTTTAAATCCTTATAAACCCTGCTGGCATTTGTCCCTAAGAACTGAACAATGACCCAGATAAAATAATTCTCCTTTAAGCAGAGGCTCGGGCCAGTAGAATGCATTGCCCATTGCTGTCTGCTTTAACATTTTTCCAGGCATACATTTATGTACTATAAATTAGCAAAAAGAAAATGGGTTTCCTTTTCTTCGTATACCATCTAGCATAAAGACAACACTCATTAAAAGTTGAATAATAATGAAGCTCTGCTGAACGGCTTTATTTTAGGAACCTCCAATGTGGAAAGGGAACTTGAACGTACGTTCTGTGAGATTTAGAACACAATGAAATTCTTTCAATACCCCAAACAACTGCTGATTATTTCAAAAGCCTGCATAAAACCATCCTGGCTGCTCACTGTATTCCATTAGAATGCACAGACAAATCCATTCACACACTCACACTCACACACACACACACACACACACACACACACACGACTTGAACTTCCCAGTTTGGGGTCTGTAAAAGCTACAGATTTTGTACTTCT